TTTTTTTTTTTTTTTTTTTTTTTTTTTTTTTTTTTTTTTTTTTTTTTTTTTTTTCAACCATTTTGTATTTGTGCTCTTATTCTGCTTGTGCGAGTGTAGCTGGTTCGAGACGATGATGGGTAGCGTGATTTTTATCGAGGAAATTAAATTGCAAAGTCCGTTGGTCAGAAGAACAAAAAGTTTAAGTGGTTTATGATGAAAAGGTCTGAAGTGTGGGGATTTTCATCAATTTTTACATTGCAGAACTTAGTTCACACGAAAAACTCGGGGATGCGCACGAAATTTGACATCACAGAGTATTACAATTGTTTTTGTTTATTTGTTACATGATTACCATGACACAGTAGGTAATATATGGCCCTTGTTTTCATATGTACAAGCACCTTCTTAAATAAAAAAAAAAAAAAAAAAAAAAAAAAAAAATGATACATAGATAGGAGTTCTCATTTTTTTAAAACCACCTTTTGGAAGAAAATGTATATTTGAATTTCCATTAAAAATTTAAATTTATATATTTTCAGGACCGTACAAATGTCCGCTTTGATATGTACGTAAATTTAGAAGGTAAAAAAAATATATGAAACTATTTAAAAACGATATGCACTCAAGTTTCTTGGAGGACACTAGTCGAGAAGTCGATAACTACAACTTGATTATTGTGGGGGGGAAAAAAAACTACGAACAATCAAAAATGTACGTAGGGATACATGGGTACAGCCAGAGAGAGCCAGCAAGATCCAAGACACAGAAACAATGAGACACTCACAAAGGAACACGGACGTAGAAAGGGACTGAGTAAAGGTAAAGCGGATTCCAGACAGCCAGCTGTGGAGCAGGGCTAAAGTGTACATCCAACGAGCGGAAGCTCGAAAGGGAGCTATACGCTGTAAAAGGTGTGTATACATTTATGTGCAGCCTGCCACCATCAGCAAGTGCGAAGACGAGAGAGAGAAGCAGGACACTGTACAACAGCCACAAAGGGAGATTGTATAAGTTCACGTGGTGACCGGTATATTGTGAGCCCTCGAGGGATTAATCACCGGGCATTATAGCTATACTGGCTCTCAAAAGCACACAAGGAATGAGCTTGAGAGGAACTTGCAGAGAGAGAGAGAGAGAGAGACAAAGTGTAGAGGTGCACGGTAAGCTGCTGCTGCTGCTGTTACTGAGGATTAAAGAAGGAGATCAGATGGGGATGTGACGTAGGCAGAGAGATAGATAGAGATTGATAACGATAGAGATAGAGAGGAAGAGAGAGAGAGAGTCATAAACGATGAGAAAGCTGTTTGGCTGGTTGTTGGCTTGAACTTATACCTACGTCATACATAACAAAAGCTCGATGTAATAACATGCCGTAAAAAGAGTGAAAACTTGCTGGTGAGCGGGTCCCTTTTATTTCTCTCTTATTTTTTTTTTATTTTTTTTTTTTTTTAAGGGACAACAAGTGGCGACTTGACGGTTCTAGGATGCACAAGATTAGGAATAGCTCCTTTTTTTCCTTTTTCTTGCAGAAGAAAAAGAGTACCTTAGGCAGTTCAAAGGATACTGAAGTTTCGTGTCGTTCACTCCACAATTTCGTATTCCATCTTAATTTAAGCTGATCAGGAAATCACTCAATTTATTGCATCATGATCAAACAAACAAAAGTTGTACCGACATGACTCATGATTTAAAAAAAATGTCTCTAAAATACTATTAGGTAAATGTTGTTTTAGTAATGGTTGGTCACGTATGGAAAAAGTAGTTGACAACTTAGTTTAATGTAGCTTGTTCAATAATTTGTTCAAGATTACATGTCAGTATCAATTACAAAATAACGATAAAAGAAGTAGAAATAGTTGAAAAAGAAAATTAAAAATGCTATTCAAGCTTTTTTTCTTCTCCTCTTTCTTCTTATTCTCTTTAATCACACCTTGACTCATCTGGTACTAATGTAAGTAATGACTAAAATGATTGCTTATCGTAAAGCAAATATTTTTGTTTTACGTTATGCAAGAATGTGTATTACACCTTCATATACATATGCGATCACACATTTGAGCACACAAATAGTAAGTATCAGTCGTTTTCGTCATATCACTATCTCACCACGACGATGAGTTCCGCTATAGTGATCGAGAACAAAACAATGTGTGAAAATATACAGTACACGTTCTTGTATAACGTATAATTAAAATGTTTGCTTAATGAAGAATAATTATTCTCATTATTATTAACATTAGTTCAGCTTATGTCCTTTCTTGGCTCGATTATAAAAATCCATGTTTCACCGACTATGTTTAAGATATCCTTGGTAGTTCGCTTAATCTTTATTTTTATTGCAAGCACGTTTTCAGCCTGTAAAAGTTAAACTTTAATCACTTAAAAATATTTCTATACTGTGAACTGCATTTGTACAGAATATGGTGGATGTCTAAGGTTTCATATTTTTTTACAGATCTCATTAAATATCTTATTCTCAAGGACATCACAAGATGCGTGTAACCATTTTTATCATCTTTCTCGTACCAACTTTAACTTTAGCAGCATACAAGATGAAGGAAGTTTATGAATGGAAATTCGTGGACTTCTTGTGGCCATCTAAATATGAGAGAATTGAAGCCATTCAAAATGGAACATACAATCGTAAGAGGATTATTCCAATGGATGTGGACAAAGATCGAGGTAGATAAATCATATTGAATACTTAAATTTGTTGTATAAAAGTTAAAATAATAGGTATTGCAATTTAGCTTGGGTAGCACTTTGTAGTTATTGTACTATTTTTATTCTCGAAAATACAGCGAGCTCTTGTTACATGCTATTTAAGTGAAGAAACATTAAGATTCAAGAAACAATAAGTCTTTAAATAGAATATCACGTTTTCCTAACATAATATGATAAAATCATTGTAACAAACTTTGGATTGTTACTAACTAGATGGTCGAGTTTTCGTAACGCTCCTTGGAGCTACAGGCGTGCCTGCAACTCTAGGTATAGTTACGAATAAGACTGGACCTTGGGGACATCTGATCAAACCCTACCCGAACTGGTCGTGGTTCAGACCTAATGACTGTAATAGTATACAAAGCGTCCATAGGATTGCTGTAAATAACTTATTAGACAATTAATTTTTCTAAACTAATCGAGTACTATAATATGGTAAATTTTCTCCACAGATCGATAAATGTAACAGACTGTGGATCTTAGACGTGGGATTTAAGATGTGTTGCTGTACAGTGTGTCCCCCTAAATTGGTTGTATTTGATCTTGACTCTGATGTACATCTTAAAACGGTCATAATTCCTGATAGTATTACAAAGTACAAAAGAAGATCTTCAATATTTGTGACGCCAGTAGTTGATACCAAAGGGCCCCAATGCGAGAAAACTACGGTAATTAACGAATATTTATTGCATTTTGAATGAAAATAAAAAAAATCAGAACAGTTTTTTTTAGGTATACATTGCAGACACACATAGTAATACTTTAATAATTTACGATGGCCAAAGCATGCGGAGTCTGAATCATAATACTTTTAACTTTGATCATAACGCTCAAATTTTAACGTCAGGTGTAAATAAAGTAAAAGCAAAAAATGGCATCCTTGGCTTAGCTATCTCACCTCAGGTTTACCCTACAGATCCCAAATTCTTGTACTATCGTCCACTTAGCTCTAAAGGATTGTTTGCAGCTAATATTAATGAACTTGAGCGTAGCTTCCACGGTGAGAACGTAAATTATTTTGGGGATAAAGAACTACTGCCAAGTCAAGCCGTAGCCATGGCGTTTTCAAGTAATGGTACACTCTTCTTTGGACTGACAAAGGAAAGTTCAATTGGATGTTACAATCAATACAAAAAATTAGTTCGTGGCAATATAGTTAGTACTAATAGTTTGACAATAATCAATAAGATTCTTAATGTTATTCAAGGTCACTCTTATACATTGTTATTTTTTGTATTTCAGGGAATAGTTGACCAAGACAACGAACGGCTTGGATACCTCAATGGTGTCAAGGTGATTAAATCATCAAAAAAGCATCCAATAGAAGAACTATGGGTTCTGTCAAATCATTTTGTGGCATCACTTTCTCAATCATTCATGCAAAACGACAAAGTTAAATTTCGAGTTTTAAAAGGTAGTGTTGAAAATCTTGTCAAAGGAACCGTATGTGGTTAGCCAAAACGCAGATAGTATTATATCGATTCTTGTATTTAAGAATGGTGTTTTTGTCGTGAAATATAGTAAATATCAATAACACTGTATTTTGTTTTTTTATCAAAAGTCTAAAAATTTTGATCATTTCATGTATACATTTCCTCAAATGGTTATCTCTTCAATAAAAGAATTCATCAAATAATAAAACCAATGGCTATTGCTGTTGTATATAATTTTTTATTATATCCCCTGACGACGTTTCTCTCCTCTTTGGGTAGGAGCCTTTTCAAGTCCTAATTTTATAAAATATACACGAAATAAATTAACTTGAGGTAACAATACATCCACGTTATCATATCTAATAACATTTTAAAAANCACCTCAAAATAGTATATGGTAGATCTTGTAGAGCAACTTTAATGATAAAAAAGCTAATTACTGAATTGTGATACCCAGAAGACTATTTATTTAGTCCCTTACTAATATTAAAATACCTTAATATGCAAGAGCTCGAATATATAAGTGGTTAATACACTAGTCTTCCAGCCAAAGATATTCATGATGTTATTTCATCGAAGCACACACGTCACTAATGAATATAGTGACATGTGATTCTTAATCGCAACAATACGTGAAAAAAACTCGGCTTACACATGGTATGCAGTTCTACTTTACACGCTATGATCATGTATGATGATATACATAAGAAATATATGAGTACGGAATTCCGTAGGCTATGAGATTTATTATTCATATCTTGGTGCGAAATATGTTCTTTGGTATGATTTTATCTTAAAAACTCCTGTGCAAAACTTGTTTTTCTGACTGTCTTTTGCAACAATGCATGAATGAAATTTCGTTAATATTGTTATTTGTTCAACTTACTTGTAAAAATATTCTCATTAATCTAAAAGCTGCATCTTGAAAAACATTTTCATGCAAAATAATTTTAAAAAAAATTTGAAACATCACTTGTTTACCATTACTTAATAATCCTTGAATTCACATGGTAACACTTATGTTGATACAATTGAAGAACTTCCCACCCTTGCTCTTAGTCAGATAATAACATGCTGGATTATTTAAGACACATAAAAGTTCAACAACTGTTCATACGGATTGTATACTCACCATCAAACAGCTCCTCCAAATTTTGTTGTTTAAATTTAGAAGGAGTAAAATTTTTTTTATAAAAATTCATCAAAAGTAAAGACTTGGTAAGTAAATTATAAATACCTTTTTAGTCAATTTAATCTACTATTTTGGGGATAATAACGTTCTGTCCAGTCAAGATCTATATTGATAAGTTTAAGGTAACAACAAAATATAATGCAATATTTTCATCAATTCAAGTATTAAAAATTTTTCTATTTAAATACTGAATTTATCAAAATAAAATAATGGGCACTACATTATTTTAAACTCCACTGATAACAACTGCTAACAATTTGTAACCATATACAAAAATCACCTACTTTCACAAATAAATGGAGATACTTGGACGAAAATTTATCGCCCAGTAGTTAAAAAATTATTTCCATTTTCGTTTCCTCTCAATTTCTCTCGATTAAAATACAAGCCTAAGGAGAAATCAAGCACTTACGAGAAAAGCAATCCAGTGCTTCTAGCAACAAATAATGAAATTTCACCTTCCTGTATCAATTTAGTCCACTGGTTTCTCTCTAATTGGTTGTATGCGGATGAAAGCCATATAGCCAGCGGCGCCAAAGTTAAATCACACCTTAGATCAACGAGTACCGTTGTAAATACAGTCCAACTAGCGATGACTAATTATTTTATGGAATTTGAAACAGTTAATTGCACTGCGGTTTGGCTGTATTTTTTAACAAGTCTTTTATTAAAACTCCAGTAACGTATCTAAAATATTTAGTGTAGCTTACAAAAAAATAGAGCAACACTAAATTATCTTCAAGAGACTAAATTTTATTGTACAGAAAGTTATTAACTATAATCAATAATGAAACAATTATTCATGATATTGATCTCACAACTACATCCCTAATAAATTCTATCTATTCAATATTGAAGTTCCAAAAGCTCTGCATTAAAGTTTTATTTTTAATTACTACGTGGTTTTTACTTCATGTTCTCTTTTTTTTTTTGATACAACAGAATCATCAACGTTGTCTTGCATACTGCAAAAAGTAAGGAATCTCTTACACATAATTTTTACATGTTCCACTGGAAAGTAAGCATAAAATGTTCTTAGAGAAACTTTTATCGAAATTGATCGTCTAACATTGGGCGTTTTTTTTAACCTTCGGACATTTACTGACCTCTCAGTAGGAAAAATAGAGTACGTGCTTAGTGTGCATCTAACCAGGGCAAGCCCAAAGAATCCCGGTGCTTGCCCTGGCGACATGTACCACCAGGTACGAAAACTACTATTGTGCAATTTTTTTTACAAAAATGCATAAATTGTAATTTTCAACAAGATTATGATTTTTTTTCCTACGTCATTATACTGGTCAACAAATGACTCGTCAAACATTTTCCTTAAATCTGAAAAAGATGTTGCTGTAATAATGTTGATACAAGTGAAGGAACTTATTTTATTGCTGGTACGTAGAAAGTGACTTTTTAATGACTTAAGGTACTTGATAATTTCATGTTTCTTTGTCTGAGTTATAAGTCCACTATTACGTAGCTTATCTGAATTTATAATTTATTGTGTGACGGAAAAAAAACAAGTAAACAAATGAATTAGCAAAAACTTATCACAACTAAGTAGGACCCGGTAAGCAGCTCATAAACAGTATCTGAACAGATATATATATTAAACTTTGTTAAGTGAGTAGACTTTTTTTCACATTGTATGAATAACTTTTAACACTTTCAGTAGTAAAAAAAGCATATTCTTCAACAAACACGAACCAACAAAACTAAGTAACCAGTTTATTTGGGCTGAGAAAACTATCACATTAAGTACATAAATGTTAACTCATCTTGATTAGAACAACTACGCATAAATCGACGTATCAATTCTATGTAAGGTACTGAATACATTTTTCTGATAAACTACTAAGAACAATAGTTTTTTTCTGTAGCTTGTATATAATCTAAAATTTTTATAATTGAGAAACCCTGAACCTTTCTTACAAAATAATTAAAAAAATGTAATACAGATGACACGTTTAAAAATAGTAATAAAACTATATAATTAAAGCACAAGTATTTTTTCGATGATTAAATCAATATCTGTTATAAAAGATAAATAATATTCGAACGAAGTTGTATTGAATATTATGGAATGCCATGTAGTTTAATGTTGAGTAAGAAACGGGGGATTATTCACAACTTTTGCTAAAAAAATCAAAAACACTTATAACACTTTTAATCTGACTGAAACAATTTATAAATTATAACATATTTAATTTTAGATAATACATTATTCGGCCTCTAGCAATCAATCATCCAGTAATCGAAATGCACACTATTACTTATATCCTGATTTTCGTGATAGTGCTGGTAGTGTCAGCTGAAAAAATAAATGTAGTTCACGAGTGGAAATACATTGACTTTTTGTGGCCATCCGAGAACGAAAGAAATGATGCTATCAAGTCTGGAAAATACATTCCTTCGTCCATAATTCCCATGGATGTCGATCGGGATCAAGGTTTATAAAAACATTTTTTAACTTAAATTATACTTTATTATTAAAAAATATCTTTTTTACAGCTGGTCGCATTTTCATGTCATTCAGCAGAATTGATGGCATACCCGCAACTTTGGGTGTAGTTACAAACATAACTGGATCTTGGGGTCCCTTAATAAAACCCTACCCTGATTGGTCATGGTTTGGATCTAGCAATTGCAATACTTTACAGCTGGTTTTTAGAATAGCGGTTTGCAGCACATCATACTACATTAATTTCTAATCCGTACCAAATATGCAAGCCATGTCATTTATTTTTTTTTTCTTTAGATAGATAAGTGCAACAGATTATGGATTTTGGACAGTGAGTTCGTAGGAAATAAGTCGAGTACAATTCACTGTCCATCCAAGCTGGTGGTATTCGATCTCAACACCGATAAACACATCAGGACCATTGAAATACCTGACAAATTTAGGAGTTATCGTAATAGCTACACGTTGCTCGCAACACCAATTGTAGAAACTGAGGGACCCTTTTGCGAGAAGACTACCGTGACTATTTTTTTTTTCTTACATAATCCTACAGTTGACTTAATATAAATCCAGAATAACTGATGTTGCTCTAATTCAGGTGTACATCGCAAATATAGCCGGTAAATTGATAATTTTTAACGGCAAGGAAATTTGGAGCTTGAATCATACAACTTTTGAATTTGATCCCAAGGCTAAATTTATCACCACTGGGGCGCATAATATAACGTGGGAAACTGGCATCCTTGGCTTAGCAATTTCACCCCAAGTCTACCCTGATGAACCAAAATATTTGTACTACCGTCCACTCAACTCTTTTGGTTTATTTGCAGCTGAAACTAATGAGCTAAGGCGTAGTTTTCAAGGTAATAGTGTTAATTATTTTGGGGCTAACAACGTACTGCCTAGTCAAGCTGTGACTATGGCGTTTTCAAGTCAAGGTACCCTCTTTTTTGGATTGGTAAAAGAACATGCCATAGGTTGCTACAATCGATACAGGGAGTTAAACAAAACAAATATTGTAAGTATGATGGCTCGATAGATTCTATTACAATTTCTGACCAAGACTTTGCGTATGATTGGATTAACTTTTATACTGTTTTTCTTTAATAATTCAGGGAGCAGTTGCTCAAGATTACAAACGACTGGACTATCTCAACGGAGTAAAGGTTATCAGACCATCGTCAATTTATAAAGAAGAAGAATTACTAGTGTTGTCTAATCGTTTAGTAGTATTTCGGTCAGATCCTCATCTTTTACAGAACAACAATACCATAAAGTTTCGAGTTTTGAGTGGTGTCGTCCGAGAATTGGTTAAAGATACAATTTGTGACACACCAAATCATGAATAATGATGTAAATATCAATAAATACCATTAAATACATTTGGTCTTAAAGCCTAGCTCATGGAGTTGTAATCGCTCACCACGTTCATTCCGTTTCATTAAACTTAATAGATAGAAAGTTTGTGCATATGTTTTCTAAACTAACTTCCTTATAAACTTGCCAGTCTTAAATTTATTGTTTCTTTGACTTAATTGTAGCAATATTTA